GCCAAAAGTCCAGGTTTTGTTATTTTACATTTGAGTTATAGAATTCTAAGTTTCTGAATGATTCTGTCCCTGTGTTTGTCTTCCAGTGCAAAGAAAGGAGGTACAGGCCCGAGCTGTGTTCTACCCACTTTTAGGGTTGGGAGGAGCTGTGAACATGTGCTATCGAACCCTCTACATCGGGACAGGTGAGACAGTAGGAGTAAGACATCCAGTTACTTGATGTCTTAAGCTCTGATCGTTAGCACTTTTACCCTCAGAGTTAGAAAGGCCTGAGGGAAGCTCCTTCTGAATTGATGTTTAACCCAGGAGATTTTCCAACAAGAGATATCAAGGAACAGGACAGTTTGGTGCTTTCCAGATTCAAACCCTTTTGCTCTGTATGTGCCCAGTGTGGCAGTGAGATAAAAATCAACTCCGACTGCTGCTTTGGAGCATCTGAAACACTTCAAGGAAAAACACAAGGAGCAGGCAAATGCTTGTCCTGGACATCTTCAAAAATGATGGGCTCCTACATACCCAGCCTTAAATTAGCCCTGCATCTGACACAGAGCAACAGACAGATTAACCCTTAGGCTAGGAGTTTCTCTTTCAGGTAATATAAAGCCCTGTATCATTGTGTTATGTTCTCATGGAAATATCCCTCCTTCTTTAGTAACTAACTGTTCCTTCTGGGTAGCAGTCATGTGTTCTAAAGTAGATCAGTTAGCAAGGACAGCTGTTTAACAGAGGATGGAAAAGATACCTAATTTTGTTCAAAAATAAGAACAGGTCCTGAGCTACCTACCTGCCCCTTGAGGTTTCTACTACCACCCACCCAGAAACTAACTCCTTTCTTCCCTCTGTTTCCCTATACATATACCCTGTAATCTGTTCTCTGCTTTCCTTTTCTCCTGCTGCTTTGCAGGAGCTGACATGGATGTGTGCCTTACAAACTATGGTCATTGTAACTACGTGTCCGGAAAACATGCCTGCATATTCTATGATGAGGTGAGGAGTGGAGGTGGACTGGGAGGGAGCTTTCCCAGCCTAAGGCCTCTGCCCCTTACTGGTTTTTGTTCGGTTCCCTGGGAGGAGGGAGGAGGGTTCCTCTTTTCTTCCCTCCCTGTCGTACCTAGAAGAGAAGAGTCTTGGTGTAAAAGGGCATCCGACCATAGGTACCTCCTTTCAGGAGCAAGGCTGTGGTTTTAGCTGAAGTTGTCAGAGGCACAGCAGGGGGAGCCCATCCTGGTGAGGGGATATAAAAGGAAGCTGAGGGCCGGGGATTTAGCTCAGTGGTTCTGCCGCCTGCCTCACAAGCACAAGGGCCTGAGTTTGATCCCCAGTACCAAAAATAATGATAATAACAATAATAATAATAATAAATACAAGGAAGCTGAGCTCTGTGGATGTATCCCTGTGAGTTTCATCATCATCTGCTTGTAAATGCCATATCAACAAGAGCCAGTGGTGAGGAGGCAGAAGAATGGAGTAGGGATGGGGGTCACTAGGAAGACAGGCTTCCCCAGAGGTGAGTCTTGCCCCATTCTGGAAGGTTGGGGCCATAACTGGGGAGAAATATGAATGCTCCCTAGGTAGAGCAGCACCGCCTTCTCTGTATGTCCTTTCTCGCCTTAGCTCCAGGCCCCACACAACAGACCACACATCTTATCTCCCCTTCTTCTCTTCAGAATACCAAACATTATGAGCTGTTAAACTACAGTGAGCACGGGACAACGGTGGACAACGTGCTGTATTCCTGTGACTTCTCTGAGAAGACCCCACCAACTCCCCCAAGCAGTATTGTTGCCAAAGTGCAGAGTGTCATCAGTAAGTTGGAGCACAGGCATGTGGCCAAAAAGCTGAATCCTCAGTTACAGTGGTTCTGCCATGCTGCTGATGACTTGCAGTCTCTTGCCTCCCCAGTCCCATTGGCCAGGCTGTCCATGCTCATGGGCTCTGGGAAGGCCTTGGAAAAGCAAGAGCTGAGCACTGACATGTGTATATGACATAGACCTCTTTGGGGACTTCAGGCTCCACCTTTCCTTTCTGAATGTCCCTTACCTCTGGTCGTGTAGCAGTTGGAATAGAGTTGCTGGGGGATGGCCCTGGCAAACAGTCAAGAGGGTCAGCTCACTGGTCTTCTCCTGTGACCATTTCCTTTTTTCCCAGGGCGCTGCCGACATCAGAAACAAGATGAGGAGCCAAGTGAGGAGGCGGCCATGATGAGTTCCCAGGCCCAGGGGCCGCAGCGGAGACCCTGCAATTGTAAAGCCAGCAGCTCAAGCTTGATTGGGGGCAGTGGGGCCGGCTGGGAGGGCACAGCCTTACTGCACCATGGCAGCTACATCAAGCTGGGCTGCCTGCAGTTTGTCTTCAGCATCACTGAGTTTGCGACCAAACAGCCCAAAGGCGATGCCAGCCTGCTGCAAGATGGGGTCTTAGCCGAGAAGCTCTCTCTCAAGCCCCACCAGGGCCCTGTGCTGCGCTCCAACTCCGTTCCCTAGGGCTAGTGGCTACCCTGCCAACCAGCCTATATACCCGCCTAAGACTCCTGCAATGCAAAAATGTACACAAACCAAGCCCGGGTGTTTTCTATACTCTACCAGGAAACCCTTCAACTACAATCTTTGCATGAAATGAAGAAAACTTTTGACTGTTTTTTAAAAATCCTTTTTCTTTTCTCAAGTTCTAGGGGGCATTTGCACATATATTTGTACTCAACATTTCATGGGAAAGCGGCAAACCCGAGCTGAGGAACAGTGTGGGCAGGGAAGGGAAGACCTGTGGTCTGGACACTTCCTCCAACATAAACCCTTCCCCCCACCTCCTGCTCCCTCCCCCTCGCCCGCCGTTGTAAAATAATCAGAAACTTGTTCTATTTTGTGGCAGTGACAATAGTTTTATATTAAAAGAAAAAAATACAGTTTTCATACAGCAAAATCTATACAATATCATTGTTTTATTTAATATAAAGATCGCTACCCACCCTCTTTTCCATGGTTCCCACCCTCTGAGTTATTTTCCCTTTCTGCAGCAGTTGCACTACAGGTAGCTACTGTGTATTATGGACAATGAGAAATGAATTCTTTTCCTGGCTGTCCATCTATTTTATTTCAAATAAGGAAAAGTATTTGGATTTTGTGTAAATACATCTAGTGATGACATTTTTTCAATGTTTTTAAAAACTGTGTACAGTACTACATGTGCTAGAACGTTTTCTCAAATTGTCTATTGTAGCAAAAACGTTTTGTCGTAAACCTGTTTTGTCTTTTTTTTGTTCTCTTGCCACTTTTCTCCTCTTCCACCCCAGCTCCCTCTTCTCCCACCCCTACAACTAGTACCAATGTACATAGTAATTGTAATGTTTTAGACTTTACAGAAACTTTCCTGTATTCTGTATATAAAAAAAAAATACTTCAAATTATGTTTTCTGCCTGTCTGTCCTACCTGTCATCACCCTTAAAGGGGACCCTTCCTGAGATCTGGGTCCAACCACTTGGGGGACCCTTTGAACAGGTCTTACTCCCAGGAATTCAGTTCCCAAGGGCTGTTTAGGAAAGAAGGGAGGTGTTTGGAGGTGAGTGAGCTTGTGCAGGGTACAGGGCAGTGGAAGAGTACTGTTTCTCTGGGGAACCCTAATACAGTGGAATCTGATCACTGGTCCTAGCTATGCTGCTTCTAGTTACATGATTTGAAATCACAACTTCACAACTGCCAGTCCATCAGGAGACCTCTGCGTTACCTTAATTCTAAAGTTCCAGGACCCTCATTAAACCAAACTCCCTTCTTAATATGTCTTAGAAACTGATTCAAGGAAGTTCTGAGTAGAGTCTCCTCAATAGAGAACACCTTAGTTTTTGTTTTGTTTTTTGTTTTGTACTAGGGGTGGAACTCGACCTTGATTCCAGCACTATTTTTTCCCCTACTACTGGGGATCAGACTTAGATCCTTGTGCAGGCTGGGCAGGGAGGTGTTTTGTTTTGTTTTGTTTTTTTAGATAGGGTCTTGCTAGTTGTCCAGGCTCTGTCCTTGAACACAAGTTCAAGACCGTTTTGCTTCAGCCTCCCAAATAGCTAAAATTACAGATGTGGGCCACCATTCTGGGTTCCAGCACTATTTGAGCAGGTAATACTTATTTGTGTATTAGGATTTATTTGTGTATTAGGATTTTGCCTTGTACTTTGAGAATATTCTATCCATATCCTCTAGTTACACTGAGTCCACAATGCAGGAAATGTACCTATACTCAGGTCCGTCCCTGCTGCCCCCTCTACCCATCTTTGTCTCACCCAGTCTGTGCCCCTTGCCTGACAGACTTTGTGAACTTCCTAAGGGCAGAAGCTTTATTATCTGCACCTGGGTTATTTCCAAGGGTGTCCACACTGCTGGGCACCGCCATAAGTGCCAAACATTAGGTACTAAGTCATACTCTCAGGCATGGTCCTCCCAAAGCATCTGGCCAGATGTGCCCTTCGTCTCACTAACTGTCCCTGCCTACCTCACCTTCATAGTCACTTTTTCCATTGAGTAACAATGTACCATTTACACCTGTGAAAACCAATCCAGAGACAATTTTCTTCCTGAAAAGAAATAGCAGTTGCTACTTCAGAAAGAGTGATGGTGACAGAAGAGGGGCAGGGGATGACAGAAAATCCTGACAGCCTTAGCCCATGCTACCTTGGGCACTGTCACCTCTCTGGCCTGTATAGGGAAGACTCCTGAGGGCTGCATGTGAAGATGAGAAACGAGGATTTGTTCATTGAAAAAGGCCTCTTAGGACAACTCAAAGACATAAGCTCATTCATGTGTATGCCTCTCCAGAAGGGAGGGACTCTGCTACAGACTCACGCCTACAATGTGCTGCTCATTCAGCACAGGCGTTGGCGGAGACTCCAGACGCACGCACACGCCTGGAGGGACCGCCGGAATGGGCACACCTACGAGGCATACACACAATCCAGAGAAACACGAGAAGGGTGACCCAGCAGCCATTCGCACACATACAGACTACGCACACGCGTGCGGACAGACCTAGCGGGCACTCCCAGCGTCCCTGGGAGTACAGGTGCACGGGGTGGGGGGAGTTCCCACAGGCACTTGTCTAGGGGGCGCTCCCAGGGCCCAAACGCACACAGCACCTCTCAGGTGTTCGTTCACACAGGCACATCGCCCGAGGACGCCGACGCACGCCTAGAGGGCGCTGCAGGGCCCACACGCACACGCACGCACACACACCCGTGTCCGCCTCCGCCTTGGCTAGAGAGGCCGAGGCGCGCGGCCCCCTTCCAGGCCCATAAGAGGCTGGGTGGAAACTGCGACGAGGCCATCGAAGGCAGCGCTAGGCTTGAGCAGGAGCCCAGAGGCGCTGCCGCCATGGAGGCGCTGCTGCTGGGCGCGGGGTTGTTGCTGGGCGCCTACGTGCTCATTTACTACAACCTGGTGAAGGCCCCGCAGTGCGGCGGCCTCGGCAGTCTGCGGGGCCGCACGGCCG